AGATTTTTATAACTGTGTGATTTTAAGGATCTCATATCCTGGCAAAAGTCTGCCATAACTTAGAGTTACGCAATGAAAACAAGACCCATTACACACTCATGATCATAGTCCATTCCAATGTAATGTTCCTATATTCAATCTGTCCACTTCCAGAAGCTCTAAGACTAATTTAAAAAAGAAATGAGTAATTCTACTTAAAATGTATGTCTGTTAATGAAGGTTACTCACAGCAAATGCATAGTTGTCCAACCCGTCACTGGTTTTCTCTGGAGCCATGAGTGTGGAGGCAGGAGACAGTGTAATAAGAGAGATATTACACTTTCTAATAAGAGAGAGGGCAAGAGCTAAGGACAGCATACAAAAGAAGAGACGAGAAAAGAGAAAGGAGGTGCAAAAACAGAGGCACGGGACAGGGTTTGGGGATGCTGCCGCTGATTGTAAATGCTATGGGACCTATCAGCTGCTCATGTGAACTCAATTACACCACAACTAGCAGGCAGCTGACCAGAGCCACGTGCTGCTCTGGCTTCTGGCTTCTGGCTTAGGAATACACTCTAACACACACTAATGTGTACATGTGCACCAGTATATTTGCATGCATGTTAATCACCATGCAATGCATCTTTTAAGTCTTTCTTTCTTTTTCTTTCTTTCTTTCTTTTTTTCTTTCATTCTTTTAAAAGAGAATAATGTATTACTTATCTCAGGGCAAGGATCCTTTAAAGTTGTTGAATGATTGCTAGGTTTACATAGTAACTTGATTGCAGGTTTAAAATAGTTAACTAAAACTAATAAAGGTTAGTTACTTTAAAGAAACATAAACTGAAATAAAATAAAATACAATAAAATAAACTTACTCTTATTTTATTTCAGCTAGTTGCCAAAACAGCATTTCTCATTTTCGTTTAGTTTAACTTGATATACTAAAATGGCTCAAACTACAAACTAAAACTAAAATAATAAGAAAACACATAGACATTTAAAAATATAAACAAATATTAGTGCTGTCAAACGATTAATCGCATCCAAAATAAAAGATTTTGTTTACATAATATATGCATGTGTACTGTGTATATTTATTATGTATATATAAATACACACACTTGTGTGTATATATTTAAGAAAAATATGTTTTGTTTATATATAAAATATTTATATTTATATATAATATAAATTATATATGAATATAAATATATATATATATATATATATATATATATGC